AAGGAACAGTCCAACATTTTCACAAATATACTTCAATCCATACCTAACTGATGATGATTTGGACTGATCCTGGATCTGTCAGTACACGACTATATTGAATGAAATATGACCGATTCAAACTGTGACCTTCACTATCTTTATATTCCTCTTCTGTTAAGCTGAAATGGACACCTCCCTGCCTATGCTGCCAGCTGTTTTTCTCCTCTTGGTGTCAGTGTGGTTACTGTACATGACCTCTGACCTCTGAGTGAGTGCAGCATCCCCATGCAGTACAGCACACAAGGATAACAGCAGAATGGACACACAAACTGCGTGACATGCTGGGTTTTTTTTTTCATAGTTTATTAGAGATTTACACGATGAATTTATTGCCAAAACTAAATGAAAGGTAAAAGAGAAAAAACATGTGTTCTCCTCCCTGAATTTCTACCTTATCACAGTGGAGGGTTTTGTGTGTCCCAGGTATCCTAGGCGCTATGTTGTACCAGGGAGCAAGGGTCTCCCATGGCAAATTGGTCCTGGTTGAGGGACCAGACAGGATACCCGATTACTATGACTTAGCAAAGGGACATGAAATGTCACCTCTCTGGCGGGGTAAGAGCCTGAGTTAGTGCGTGAGGTTGAGTGGTACCAGCTAGATATATTTGGGTTCTAGAACCAGACTGCTAGAGAGGGGCTGAACTTTGTCCCAGTCTGGAGTTGCCCTAAGTGAGAGGTGGCAGGCTGGAGTGGGTATCTTGGTATCACCTCAGGTTTCTGTCTGTACCTTTTTTCCTGGTGGACAAGAAGGAAGAAGTTCCTTGTGCTTTAAGGTTGGGGAACACGCCCTGATTGTCATCTGCACTTATGCGCCCATTGATAATTCAGAGTACCCAACCTTCTTGGAGTCCCTGGGTGAGGTGTTTGTGGATTATCCACCTGGGGACTCGGGCGTCCTACTGGGAGACATCATATTTGCAACAGTGGCAAGATCCTGGAGGGAAGTGATTGGAATGAACAGCCTGCCTGATTTGAGGCTGAGTGGTGTTCTGTTACTGGAAAGATTTTTCAATAACAAACACAATTTTCGAACATAAGTGTGTCCATAAGTGCATGTAGAGTGGGGCAAAAAAGTATTTAGTCAGCCACCGATTGTGCAAGTTCCCCCACCTAAAATGATGACAGAGGTCAGTAATTTGCACCAGAGGTACACTT